TTCTTCTTTGCCCAGCCCTCCAGCCTGTCCATGTCTCGCTGGATGGCAGCACAGCCCTCTGGGGTGTCAGCCACTCCTCCCAGTTTGGTATCATCGGCAAACTTGCTGAGGATACACTCTGTCCCCTCGTCCATGTCACTGATGAATATATTAAACAGCACGGGTCCAGGTATTGACCCCTGGGGGACTCCACTGGTTACAGGCTTCCAACTTGAACCTGCTCCAGTAATAATTACCCTTTGGGTCCTGTCACACAGCCAGTTCTCAATCCACCTCACTGTCCCCTCATCCAGCCCATACTGCCTCAGTTTCCCAATGAGGATGTTATGGGAGACAGTGTCAAAAGCCTTGCTGAAGTCAAGGTAGATGACATCTGCTGCCCTCCCCTCATCCAACCAACCGGTTATGGCATCATAGAAGGCTATCAGATTGGTCATACATGATTTACCCTTGGTAAACCCGTGTTGCCCACTTCCAATAACCCCCCACTCTTCAACTTGTTTGGAGATGACATCTAGTATGAGTCTCTCCATCACCTTCCCAGGGACAGAGGTGAGACTAACTGGTCTGTAGTTCCCAGGGTCCTCCTTCTTGCCCTTTTTGAAGACTGGAGTGATGTTGGCCTTCCTCCAGTCCTCAGGCACCTCTCCTGTTCTCCACGACTTCTCAAAGATGATCGAGAGTGGTCCAGCGATAACGTCTGCCAGCTCCCTCAGTTATATAGCTGACAAGCCAAAATTGTTTCCTAGAACAAAACTTTTTTCCACATACTGCTTATTACCTTATCCTAATGTTAAAAAGAAATCAAGCGTTGGTTTTTTTTTTTTTATTTTTATTTTTCCTCCTGTATCAAAAAGAAAATGATGGTTACATCACCTTTAGTATCCGTTGCTGAAACTCTTTGTAGTACAAAGGGCAGACTTTGGGTTCGACTGCATCGTTAGGTTTTGTGTGCTGGCAGCTGGGCATCTATTGCTAAAGCTCCTGCCAGGATGTTAGAGCCAAAGTTGAGTTTCTTTGCAGACTTTTGCCAAATTCTTCTGCCGCTTTATGGAGCAAAATGGAAACAGGGCTTCCAGATCCAAGCCATGTTCAGCAAAGGAACATCTCAGTAATGTTCTTGGAATGGGTGAAAACCTGAGGTGGTTTGGGGCTTTTTTGAGGGGGGGAAGGTTTTGTTGTCTTTTTTTCTTGAGGTGCATTGTTGCAGATCACCTCTTTCTCTCTGCATCTATTCTGCTCAGTCAAAGGAGATGGAAATGTGTTGCTTGAAGGTGACTTGAGACGTTGTCCATAATGCTTTCTAGAACTTGCTTTTCATCTGCTTTTTCTTCCATGGTTCTTCTGTTAATTCCCACAGCTGGGAGTGTGATTGCATGTGGTAGTTCCACATTTTATTTTCTGTAACGTAAGGGTTGGAAAACACAAACAGATATTGTTGATCATTTAAAAAAGAAAATAAAAAAAGTAATCTGATCTGGAGCTTGTAAGATGTACGGAGTAACAATGACATTGGGCTATGGAAACCCCTTCATGACATCTCCAGGTACATCATTTATGCTGCAAAGTCAGGTGTTAAAGAAGAGCTGAAGAAGGTGGGGATGAGTGGAGATCTGTAGCTCCCTACCATTTTCCCTTTAAACTTCTTCATGATGGAAAAGTTCGCATATTTTCAGAATTACTTGCCTCTTAGGAAAAATAATGGTCTGAAGTTAGTAACTTAGAATTATTATTGATCACAAATGATTTTCTGTGTCTAAGTGGTACATAATAGTCCATCATTTTGCTGTACATTACTGCAGAGAAATTGTGAAAGTGACTATAAAACAGATACTTCAAGGTAAATGCTTTATCGTGTTTTGTCTTCTTATGCCACATCCCTGAACACTTCAAATAATGTATAGACTAAATATATTAATAGGAAATTTTAAAATACTTTTTTTTTTTAAAAGATTACACTTACAACATTTTTAAGTGTGATGAAATGTTTTAGGTTATATGGAGTGTTGTAAAATCTATCATTTATTGTACTAAACCTTTATGGTTGAGCAACTAACAGCCTCTGCAGAGAAAATACTAAATCAGTCTTGACTATAATTTGTACATCACACTCCAGAGAGAAATTTACCTAGTGCACAGATATTCAAAGGCTTCTACTTTAGGCCTATTATTTTATAGGCAATGTCAGAAAACTAATTTTTTTTTTTTTAACAGATCTATAATTTTTATTCAGTTTAAATTTAGTTTGGTCAGTTGTAACTACTTGTGAAGTGGTTCTGCTCTATTTTGAAAAGCTCCTTTTTCTAGAAAAAGTACAGGTAAGAATCAATAAATCTCAAGATGAAGTCAATTATAACTAAAAGACAAATTATTTCTGTGCTACCAAAGATTGGAGTTTGCTTGCTTGCTTGTGTTGCCTTGGATGTTTTCTGAACCTTGTGTTTTTCCTTCTTATTTTGTCTGTAAGTCTGAAATTGGTCTGTTTTTTCTTGCTGCTGCTGTTATGCCTTATGTTTGGTTTGTGTTAACTATTAATTAGGTTTTTAATAAGCTCCTTCATTAATCTTTTTTATATATTCTTCTTCCTGCATACACCTCTGAAATCAGAAAGGATGTTGAAATAAAGGTGTACTTTGCTCTGAATAGCAGAACGAATTCTATACTTACCATTTCTACAAATAGTACTTACTATTTAGGTTCTCTTTGAGTTGAAATGAAAGTAGTTTCCAAGACTGTAGAATGAGTGATTTTAGTGGTTCAGTTAAATTTTACTAGTTTTGTAGGCATTCCAAGCTGTATATCATTATACTATTTACCAAACTTGTGGTCTTGCAAATGTGTACTCTGGTTTTCTGTTATGTGTGAAGACTTTGCTTAATGCAAGGATTCCTTGAAATACATGTAGGTATCTGAAGGGTACCCAGGCTTCCTTGAATTGTGTATCTGTTTTTTATAAAATACTCTCATTTGTTCTGTCAACTACGTTATCCCAGCTGCATCCAACAGGCAATTTTCCTTCTTTCCTTCCTGTGAGGTAATCTATTTGACTTGAGAACTGTATTTTCACAAGAGCAAATTTTCCTCTTAGATGACACTCCAGTGGATGTCACAGGCATTATAGGCACGTGCAACAACAAATCCTCACTATACTTTAAAGTATCTTTTTTCCACCATTCCTGTGATCTGTCTTCACCTGGTATTAGCTATGTAGTGTACTGTGTTGATCACCCTTTTGCAGTTGACATATAAATTAATCTCTTGGATGACCCCTTGGGTAAATGCATGGTTTAATGCTTGTGGAGCAGCGGGCACCAGGGATGACTTGAGATGAGCTGCAGAAATACATTGTTTGCCTGCAAGGGGAGGAGGAGGAATGGGTTCTCCTCCTTTTAGCACCAGAACTGTTACCTTGGTTGAGTGATTTCATCTGAACTTCAAGAAATGGAAAGATTTTCAAATAATTTGTTCAGCTGTCTTGATTCTATGTGTGTGTGAGATTGAGGGGGAGAATTTGACTCAAAGCCAGAGCTTTGAGACAAAAACTTGCCTGTCCTATGTTTGTCTAAGGCGCAGAAGCCTGGGGCAATCTTTGAGACCTGGAGAAGAAAACTTAGCGTAATATATGGTTGTGTCAAAACGATGCTGTTTTCATAGATTGGTATTTCTGTATTTTAGTTTTATCTTATTCATGATGTGTTTTGAAGTACTAATCCTTGTCATTAGATAATAAATTTTATGTATCGGAGGAAAGAGGGTTGTGTGTATGCATGTTTGGTTTATGGCTGTTATAAAGGATATCTGAAAGATGTAGTAGACTGGAAAGAAATCTCCTAGTGGGAGTTGTTTGGTTGCAGAAGTAGTTACCCAGCCTGAAGATGTAACTGGTGTAGGCGAAGAAGTGCTCGGACACATCGGATGTGCAGGATGCGTTTGACAGAGGACCTGTCTGAAATTGAAGTGACTGTAGCAGAAGTTATGGAAGAAACTGACAGAATGAATAAATTTCCAGGACAAGATGATGTGTGCTGGAGAGTTTTTAGAAGAACTCGGGGATGAAGAAGTCAAATGACGAGTGTCTGAAGTCTTGCTTAGAATGAACTTGATTTTTGAGGACTGGAGGGGTGGTAAATGCTGATTTTTTTTTTTTTTCTTTTTTTTCTTTTTTTTTTTTTTTTTATTTCTTACCAGTGCATTGGGAGTTTAGGGGAACTACATGATATGAAGTCTGATGTTTGTGTTGAACAAATCAGTAGAGTTTATAATAGATATATTGGACACCTGGATAAAGAGAGAGAGATGTACTGCAGAAAATTTATGCCTCCTGTAAGGGGAAGCTCTTCCCCACAAACCTCTGGAGTTCTTCAGAATCAGCAAAATGTTTACAAGGATGATCCAGTGGATGTAGTGAGACATAAATGCTTTTCCAAAAGGCATCTCTTGCTCCCTCGCCGAAGGATTTTTGATGAAAATAGTATGTCAGCCTAAAATGGAAAATCATTGTATGAACGACTAACTTGCTGATGTCTAAGAAACGGATGCGGAAGTAAATGATTAGCCTTCTCACTTGAGTGGAGTCTGAGGGACCCATAATCCACAACGCGTTTCTTAATGACCCGTAAAAGAGTGTAGTAGGGGTTTGACAGAGTTTGGAGAGCTGCTTGGTGTAATAAGGTCGAGTGTAAAGTGAAGAATTTTGGAGAAAGTTTATGAAACTAATAAAATGGCAGAAGCAGCGCATTGTAGGAAAATGAAAAATGTGCTGGAGAAGACAACCGTTCTGTCTTCATTTATAAGATGATGGGCACGGAGCTGACCAGAAATCTTCAATTCTTAGTACAAATGGTAAAGGCAGATCATGTGTTAGGATTTGGTAGGAAAACAGGAAACAAACCAGAAGATCGTTATCCTATTACATAGATTTGTGACTGGTCTGTGTGTTGAATACTGTGTGTTTAATACTGGTTTTATCTCAGAATTTTTTGAGTGTAATAAAGCTGGAGATTAAGGTCGCACAAAATGACTTTTGTGTAAAGAGTAAGTAAAATATGATTCTTCGCTCTGGCAGGAGACCATCCAGGTTTCTATGTAATTACACGTGGTAAGAGAGAGGGTAGGTGGGGATTGATTACTGCTTGTTTCAGTGTAAGAAGTGGGGAGCATCAAATGAAGCTGTAGGAGCTGCGTTCAAAACCAATGACATGAGACACTCTCTATGGAACTGAGCTTTGTCCTGCAAAACCTTTCGTAAGGCGTGTGTGGATGCCAAAATTTGATGTGGTTCAAAAGAAAAATAGGCTTTTTATTGTGACAGAAAACTATGTAGCTATATTGAAAGCAGATCATTGTAGGTAAGGAAGCACCCAGCTATACAAGGGGTTTCCTAACTTGAGGATAACTTCTGTCTGCAGGCAGCTGGGACTGGGGAATAGGGCCCTTGGCTAGATGAGCCTGATCTGGTTATTCGTGTGGAAGAGGGAATTTGTGGTTGTGTGTCCCTTTTAAGAGAAGAAAGGATAGATAGAAGCAAAGGATTTCTATGTTATTTAAGGTTTTCTATGTTATTTATGTAAGCTTGCATGGTACATAGGCCACATGACATGGAAAATCCTCTTTTTCTCCTTCATAATATTTAAACAGTGCTGTTATATACACCTGTGAGCCAGGTATTGTAATTTGATATAAAGGCTGTTAAACTAAAAAATTTACACTAGAAGTGGAAGCTGCAGTAAATAATTTTGTTACCAAACTTAATATATTGTTCTTGCCTGTTTTTGTTTACAGGATTCTGAGTAACAATAAAATCACAGAGTTGAAGAACGGTTCCTTCTCTGGATTACACCTTCTTGAAAGATTGTAAGCACTTCTTAAAAAGCTATTTTCTCTTAAAAAATTAGGTGTTACGCTGTTTATGTTTCATTAGTAATTTTGAGAACAAAATGTCTTATTTAAGAGATGTAAAGCTATTTTCTCTTAAAAAATTAGGTGTTTATGTTTCATTAGTAATTCTGAGAACAAAATGTCTTATTTAAGAGATGCGTTCTTACTTTATTTTGATTTTTCTTTTTCTGTGATTGAAGAGTTAATACAATTAAGTGTTCTCTTCTTGGATATGAATATCATGTGTTAGCATAAAGGGGTGATCTCACCTGTGGGGGAGATTAGGGCAGTTTCAGTGGGAAATGCACTGGAATGCTGTGACGACGGGATTTGCTTTGGTGGTGGTCTCATAATATGAAAACTTATGTTTTAAAGAAAATTATTTCTTTAATTTCTTTTATGAAGTGTCAAACCCCTTTATCAAACCATTGTAAAGTATATTTGTAGGGCAAACAGATGCATTAGAGTCTTTAAAAGAGGCTAGATTCATTGTAAGCTTGTTGTTGTCGTTAATTTTAACAGTTTTGCTGCTCACTTTACAACTGTGGTATATACCCAGTGCATGGAGGGAGGGAAATGGGAGTGAATCTGATGGGAATAACTTCTTGGACACCTTTTCCTTCCTGTTTTCACTTTCCCTTTCAGATGATATATCACCTATGGGATAAGAAGCAGGGTTGTAGCTTCTGTTACAGTCAGCTTTTTTTCCAGCTGGTAGAAGGTCAGGATTGGCAGGTTGATCTACCTGGGAGCAAGCAGAAACTTTAGAGATAAGGATTTTTCTAGGCCATTTGACTGGGAAAGTAGCCAGTTCCATAATCAGCTCACAACATCTAGGATGAGTTCCAAACGACTTTTGGCTTCGGGGGATTAAAAGTATTTTATTCTTCCTCTAAAACCTGAAGGCTGCAATCCCGGTCACCTGGCCTAAATAAAATCAAATCCTTGCACCATTCTGTCCCCCCACATGCCAGAAGAAAAATTTGTCTTCTGCACCGGTAGATGAGCTTTATTATGGAAATTAGTTACGGTGCCAAAGCAGCAAGGTTATCAGCAGTGATGGCATTCGAGATCTTTACACATTATTTTGGCATCCTTGCTTAGGTAATAAAGGCATCTGCTGACAGTTGTTATTTGTTGTAGCTCATTACAGTTTTCAGACAGGAAATACTTGAAACTCTAATTAGTTTGAGATGATCATTTACATTTGCTTTATGAATCCAAATCTTTAAAATCACAAGAACCCAGCTTTCCTCCATTTAAATCCTGTCATTTCTAAGGATTCTTTAGGTTATTTTAATATCTTCTTCCATGAAAAGGAAAAGAAAGCAGTAAGGCACCGTGTTTTGAGTATTTAAAGTGATGTAGGGTAGTAGGATTTTAGATGATATGGTGGTCTCATCTGAAGGAGAAAGCACACTCTATGTGCACTGGTGTAGGATTTAATACATCAAAAAATTATTATTAATGGCCAAATGCCTTAATCATAAAGGAAGAGATAAATAACCATGATAGAGTAGTCGTTAACGACCATCTCTTTTCTTTTTGCGTGTGTGTGCAAGACAGACTAAAAAAAAATATCTATTTAACCACAGTAAAAGTAAACTTTTTGGCTTTAGATGTTCTTCTGACCTTGGACAGAAGCTACTCTTGTAATAAAAATAATTTTTCAAACTTCGATAGTGAAGAGTAAAAGCAAAAAAATTTGAAAGCCATGGTAACTATTTTAAACATTATGTTCAGCAGTTTCAAATTATATTCCTTAATGTTCACTGTGATAACTTGCATGCCTTTTAAGTGATTTTTTGACAGTTTCTTGCTTATATTTATTTTTTCTTACTACTTGTAGTCCCCCTTATTTCCTTATGAGTGTTTTCTTTATTTGTAGATACACTCTTTCCTCCACTTTAAATTTAAGAGATGAAATGGAGAGAAAAGAAATAAATTCAGTCAGCATTAAAGTAGTTAAACCAATCAGTAGAATTGTCTCTTAACATTACTGCTTACCAGGGGAGAGATTCTGTTTGCATTTAATGCTTGTGTGTTCATTCCTTGTAAGTTAGTTATACTTCTTGGCAAATATTTTTACTGTTTCTCCTTAGTAGGTTTTGAATAGCTTTTAGATGTATAGATACATTTAACCAAAGCCTTAATAAATAAATAGTCAGCATTAAAGTAGTTAAACCAATCAGTAGAATTGTCTCTTAACATTACTGCTTACCAGGGGAGAGATTCTGTTTGCATTTAATGCTTGTGTGTTCATTCCTTGTAAGTTAGTTATACTTCTTGGCAAATATTTTTACTGTTTCTCCTTAGTAGGTTTTGAATAGCTTTTAGATGTATAGATACATTTAACCAAAGCCTTAATAAATAAATTAATTTTTAAAACCCTAAAAAAAAAAAAAGGTAAAAAAAACCAACCAAAAAAGTAAAAACATCAAACTAATGTCAAGAACATGTACCTGCATAATAATTGTTTTTAATTGCATTTTAATGAATATTTGGAATCCTGAAATACAGATTCAGAATTTTAGTGTGTTAACAGATGAATTATAAACTTGCTTTTACCTGGTTAGTTCTTGGACATCTTAACAGAAACCATTTACAAATATGTAGATTTTCATTATTTTTTCAGTTCTTGGGCATATGATAAGGGCAAATTTTTGCCCTTTAGGTTATGGTTTTGCTCAAACATGGTACCTTTTGACATCATCCCCATCTGACAGTTCTTCACTGTTACTATTGAAAGGAAAGATTGTTTTATTTGTTGCTCGTATGTCCCAAAAATGTGGGGAAGTACATTTAAAACGCTGGCCCCATGTGGGAATTTAATATTTGTTTACTAGCTTTGTGCACATGTGTTAATTTATGAAAATTTAGATTTTGGTAAGGCATTGTTTTGTAAACAGGGTGGGTAAGATTACCAAAACAGGAGTTTTGTTTTACTAGAAGTTGAAGTGTTTGTTAATTCCAGTAGAAAATGACTACATCTGTGCTTATAGGAAAAAAATCATGCAAATAATAGCAGGTCAAAGATTTTTACTGCCATAAGTGGTAATTAAAGTGTCTGTACAAAAGGATGTTAAATATTTTAATCTCCACTGACTTTGTTAATGCTGTGTTTTGCTATGAATTTCCTACATTTTAAATGTTGAAGTGACTTCTTTATTTTGTCACAAGTAATTTGTGAGGGATAATTTTTGATCTAGTAGGTACTTGACTTTATATGGCCCTAGTCAACATCCAGCAACTTAGAAGCAAACTGCTGTCTTCCATCTACTGTTGATTTTTGTGAGGATAAAGAAGATGACTTTATGTATTTATGAAGTACTATTTTTTCATTGTACATGAGGGAGGGAGGAGGAAGAGACAGGCATGGAATTCAGTGAGACATTTAGATAGCAAAAGAAGGGTTTGATATTTATTGAACTGTAAATAACGACAAGGGTTTACCAATGTATTTTTAGGATATACTAATATACCTTTGAAAAGGAAAATATGCAGTGTGAAGGGAGTGTTATTTGTTGATAGTCCCATTTTTTTCCTCCTGTTTTTACAGCACCAATCTACAGATATATGGATGCCTTAAATAAAAATAGGAGCATCTAATACATTTTCAGGCAGTAACAATTTCTGGGTTTAATTCTTGTTATAGTGCAGCAGAGCATGGTGAAAAGATGGACCTGAATTCTCCTAGTGGTGGACCTGAACTCTTTTTAACTATTTTATTTTAGTCCTTAAAAGTATTGGAAAGTGTCAGAGTTTCTTGTTTGAATATTACCGAGCAGAGAAATGTTTTTATGAGTATTCAGTTCTGGAAGCTCCATCTCTTTGTTGGCTGTGGCTCTTTCAGGAGAAGACTGAGTGTGTCAGGCTAACAAAATATTTGTTTTCCCCATCCTCACCTACTTCTTGGGTAATTTCCAAAAGATGAGTGGTGAGGGAAGGGAAATGTGCTTCTAGTCTCTGCTGAAAAATCTCTGCTGTGAAAGTGAATGCTTTGGGGTATTCTGAACTGTTGGAAATAATGAAATTATTTGAAGGAAACAAAGATTTTTCTGGTCTAGGCTCTAGCTTTTGTTTAGTTTGCAGAGCTGTGGTAGTCTCAAGCATTTTTTTTTAATATTTTTGAACTTTTTTGTTACATCATCAAGAAATTTTGACTGTTGTAGTTTATCAACGCGTGTCCCGGGTGATGCGATGGAGTGAGCCAAAGTGATCAAAGTTGCTGGTGGTTTCTTTAGACGCAAGGGGATGTCAAAAGCATATATAAGAACTTTTAAAAAAGTCAAGAGATGATTTTTAGTAACTTTTTAATTTCCATTTGGAAAATGTCTGAGTCTCAGTTCTGTCTATTGTCTCCTCTTCCGTGGTTCCTTATGAACCTCAACTCTTCAGTTGAGTTCTGTCCTTGCATGACTCTAATACAGAGAAATCAGTGGTAGATTTGAGCCAGTTTTCCTTCCTTAGAGAGAGTTACTTGAACCTGGGGAAACAGCTGCAGCAGCATTTGATCCTCATGTACAATTTGAATATATTGACCTGAAAGCAGATTTCTACATCTGAGACCTGCATGCAATAAAATATTGGACTTTCAGTTCCCAACAGTTTTGGTGGTACCCTAAATATTTGGTACACTGATGGTGAAAAAGGAAAATAAATACAGCCTGCTATATTTTAGGGAGAAAGCCTGTGTATGTGTAGGGTAGAATTCATAGGCAGCGAATGATGAGGAAACATAAAGTGTTTAATCAGTCATAAGCATTTATTGGATCTTTCTGCATAAAATCTACGCCTCATCGAGCTGTGGGAGGGACAGGCTGACTTTCTGTAATGTTTAACCTATTTTTGTGATTTTTTTGTCTTCTTCCCCTGCTGTGGGAGGGACAGGCTGACTTTCTGTAACGTTTAACCTATTTTTGTAATTTCTTTGTCTTCTTCCCCGTTATCTTCTTGAAAAGGCATTTCATACAGTAAAAGTCCATGGTAGCTAACATGTTTCTTGTCCAATGTTAATTTTCAAGTTCTGTTGAGGAAGAAAAGAGAGTTTATCCAATAGTAGTTGAGAGAGCAAAATAACGTATATGTGTCAGTATGTGTGTGTATATACATATATATGCATCACTTGTTTGTGTGTGTGTGTGCATATATATATATATATGTATCATTTGTTTGTCCCTGCAGGATGTTTTAGTAATAATTAAGACAATCTTTGTTGTGCTGAGACCGAAAGCACTAAGTTATAAGTAATAGGTATTCATACGTAAGTAATTTTTCAGTATGTATATGTGCACTTTTAAGTCATAGACAACTGGCCACTGAAACATTGCATTATAAATTCTAATGAAATGAAGGGATTTTGTTTCTTACATGAAACCATAGTTCCATTTAATTATTCTTTCATTAAGATGTTTTTCTTATCTAAACAAGATAATATTAGATGCAGTTGTCAGGCTCTTAGAAATACTTTTACATGTTGGTAAGTTGCATCCTCAACTGGTAAGGGACATCCTCATCTGCAGTGTTGCTTAGATTAAAGAGAAAATTATTGGGTTTTTTTTTAGTAGGTTCTCATTGTGAGATATCTATTTTGCTTGGCTTGTGGGTTTTTTTAGCAGTGTTTTGAATTGCTAGATGAAGGTTATAGTTACTGTAAGATAAAAGATGTACCAATAAGCTAGAGCTTGCGGAAACTGTAATATTACCCTGACTTCTAATAGATTTCTTTTGGACAGGTTTTCTTTTATTTGGATAAATAAATATCTATAACTATATCCTGTTAATTGAACTTTGCCAAAGAATAATGATTAAAATCAGTGGCTGAGTAAATGCGTGTTGTTGTATACAACAAAAATCAGTTGTTTGTATAAATGCATTTATACGTGTCAAAACCAAAACAAAAAAACTTTTAAGCCAAACATGACTTTCTAATGAGAGTGTCTCCCCTACTTCCTTTTTATGTGAGAATCCATAAAGTTGAGATAAGAGAAGTGTGTATATGTCACAGTTTTATTGAAAATTAATTTACTATAGTACAAGGTAAATTTAAAGTATTTAAAGTATTTAGAATGTTTATTAGGTATGGCATTGAGGTGTGATCCATGTGCATAACAGTGTCTGTCGTACTATGATTTGTTAATCTGGCTGCAGGAAATGTTATTGTAAAATCTTGGGATGAATTGATGTTTTCACTCATGCATATCTGTGTGATGGTACATGTAATCCTCTGGTACTGTTCTCTTTCAGGCAGAATTATTAATGTTGGGGTAGATTTAGGAGATGTTTTTTTCTGCCCTTGCTTACTAAAATGTTGCTTTTAATTGAAATTACTAATTTTCTTTTCAAAGGCAGAACATGCACATCTTACAAAGGAATGAGATTACTACATATTTCTTGTAGTAATACGTACCTGCAAAGTTTCAGATAATAGTATAGTAAAAATCTTGGATGAATAAGGAGGTGGAAATAATTTTAGCATTCATGCAGTGATAAAGTTTGTTCAAAACTCTGTAGATGCTGGTGGATGCTTTCTGTGACCTTTCAAATTAAGCTGTATCTGCAAAATATCTTGAGTTAGGAGTTAAAACTCCTGTATCACTTGTACAATTAATAAAGCAGTTTAATAAAATAGTTGCTTTACATTTCTCCTTGCAATCTCCTATTCTGGAAACTTAAGATTTAAAAATCTGTGCTCTGAGTTGGTTTTTTTTTTCACTAACTTTATTTGGGATTCTCAGCCAGGTCTTTGCTTTTGGTGGAAACTTTCCATGTTGTGTCTTTGGTGTATTTTTAGAATCTTGTTTTGCTTCTTTTGGTTGATGTTGGGAACTACTGAGGTATTTAAAACTGGGTAGGCTGAAGAAGACAGCACAGTGCTAAACAGTTTTGGACTGTGTAATGAGCAAACGTTACACCCTGAGTAGCTGTAATCTTTTGGGGCACTGTGGCAAAATATCTTTGACTCCATGCCCTGTCACGTCACACAAACTGGTAGAATACTTAAAGGAATACACTATACCCAGTTTTTATAATCTTCTTTGTAGTTAAAATACAGATTTTTCAAATTTTGAAAGGCGCTATGTTAGAGAAAGTGAAAATGTGTTATATGGGTTTTTTAGGCAGCTTTCAAACAAGTTGAGACAAACTAAGTGTAACTTCATGCCTCTAAATCAGTTTTAAAGGGTAGCTTGTGATGAATATAATGTCTTAATTTTTCTCCACAGGGACCTTAAGAACAATCTTATTAGTACTATAGATCCAGGAGCTTTTCTGGGGCTTTCATCTCTGAAAAGACTGTAAGTAGTACATCCAGTTAGTCAGTTTAAACAAAACAAACAAACAAAAAACCTCTGAGAGTAGGTCTTAGATTCTGGAAATTTAGACAGCAAAGTTATTCTATATTAAAAGTTGAATATGCATATGCTGTCTAAATATATACACACACACATAAAGTCTGCTTTCAGTCTTATGACTGAGGAACATCCACTGCCTGTGGCTTGGCAGTCTCACTTGTTCTTGCTGACAGGCTCTTGTATTATTCCTCCCTTTTTGTATTTCAGTGACTTGAAACATCACTGCGTGAACATTCGTTCCCAGCTTTGATGCCATCAAATCTTGCTTTGTTAAATGTTAAACTCATGATTATTATTTTTTTTTTCCAAAGGTCACAGTGGAACACAGAGTCTCTTGCTATTAATACTACACTAAAGTTACAGCACTGTTAATGCTGCTTTATTGAAGGTTGTGCCAACATTGCCATTAACACATTTTGGGGGGATTTATACCTTGGCTTTTTTCCCCCCTTTTTTTCCCTTTTTGTTTTATTAAAACACTCTTCAAATTCTCGGAATATCTGGGACAGCTTTTAAGTCTTAGTGATTTTGCTTTCTGCTCCAAAGAATACAACTTTCCTTCTTAAATTTTTGTGGTATATATGTTCATTTGTCACAGATCAGAAGATTTGGCTCACTTAAAAGGAAATTTTTTGGTAATTGCACTTCTAAAAACATTAAAAATAAAGCTGAAGGACCCATTCTGGACCATTACTACTTGCAAGTTTCATTTTTATTTCTTTAAGATTTTTTGGCAATTTGATTTAAGACCTACTTTATAAAATATAATATTTAAAGGCTTATGTAAGTATAAATATAGAAGTGGTCCTATTTATGTGCAGTGAAGGCACTAGTATAGGTCTCTGGCACATCAAAAAAAAAAGTGATGTAGCACATGTGATGAATATATTGTACAAATATGAAAATTTACTTTGTAGTGAGATAAGCCAAGCCTGTTCTAAGGGGTTTTACTGGTCAGACTGGGCTCATTTAACTATATATGGGCAAACCATTATTACTTTGGAAATGGGATAAGGACTCTGTGTGTGTGTGTATACACCCATATAGCAGCATTTGCGTTTTGTAGACTAAATGTATATATGATGCAATCTGTTACTCATGGATTTTAGTTGAAATGCTTCTGTTTGCAGCCTGTATGTCACTTGCAAATAAAACAGTTTACTCTGATTTTTCCTATTTATAGAGACTTAACGAACAACAGAATAGGCTGCCTAAACGCAGATATATTTAGAGGACTCGTAAATCTTATTAGATTGTAAGTATAATGTTGTTGTATGTCATTTAATTTCTTAACTTTTAGTCTTATGTAAGTTAACCTTTGTTTCAATGGAGTAGTTTGCCCTAAGTGTGTGTTTTAAAGATGTGCAGCGTGGCTACCCTTGTGGTCTGCTATTCAGTAGCAAGATTGTAAAAAACCCAACCAAACTACCCAGTGCTCTGTCTGCTTTGCAACCCTTTTCCAGTTTCTTAGAAGGTATAGCTTGGGGAGGGGGTAGGGAAAAATAGCAGGCTGTACAAAATATTTCCCCTACAAAAATATTTCAGGGTTATAGACTCTTTTAATATCCGTTCCTTCTACCACGGCATCGGTGTGGTTGGTGTTTTGCTGGCTCTCTTGCATGTTTTGCAGTTTTTCATTTACTGGAAGAAAATAACATGTAAGTTTACGGAATGTTTCTTTGCACTGGTTGTCAGCTTCTTTGGCATTTCTTTCACTGACACAGAGAAAGTGGGATGTATAATATTTAAAAAAAAGTATTCTGCTAGATCAAACGTGCTTCTTACAGCATGTCAATGGCACCACATCAGTTCACTGTGCACAACAAAGTTAATTTTAAACTTCTTGAAATGTGTGCTCAACACGTGCTAGTTGTTGCTTTAAATAAAAATAAAGTACTTGCTTTCAGTCTTTGTTTCTGATCTTAAAATTCTTCAACTAAAAAAGAAGCATTGGGGAAGAGTTTATTTTTGGGATTTTTGCTAGGCTGTCAGACCTGATTTTTATTCTTACAGTCTTGTGAGTGACGACAGTGTGTCATAAGAGTATATTGTAGGTTTTAAAATAATGCTATCTTGGGGAGGGATTTTCTTATTTCAAATGTCAGTTGCTTCAGCATCAAATCACAACACTTTTATTTCTTAGGAATCTTTCTGGAAATCTGTTTTCTACACTTACTCAGGGAACGTTTGATCATCTTGGTTCACTGAAGTCTCTGTAAGTATTTATTGCATCTAGTCTTAATTGGCATGGTCACTTGTGTTCTTAACAAAAAAACATTTTATATACACTTGTTTGTACTACGGTTCTGCATTTTTATTTTTAAACCTAAAACAGGTGTTTCTTTATCTCAATAAGTGCATGGGAAAGATGTTTGGGTGTTTATATAACTTCCTTCTAAAGATGATCAGTATTTGTTACGAAGTTCTGAGAGAACAAAGCTATATCCACATTTGGGCTTCTGAAAGTTTTATTCTGTATGCATCATTTATTACTTTTATATTAAAAAGGTGGACAACACTATTTATTTAACAAAGGGAACAAATACTTTTAAGGAAGATCTTACTCCTTGAAGAACAGTATGGTTTTGTTGTACAAGACAGTGGGTACATCTCAACCTCGGGTTATTTTTCTCTCCTTTAATTTCATGACACTTGTAATTTTGTGTAAGGAAGAAAGTAAATGAAAAAAATTATCAGTGCTACTGATTGTCATGACTACCAGGAAAAAATACAAGCTAGTTGCCTCATTGTACTGGGACTTCCATGAAAGCTCCAACTTCTGGCTTTGACACCAAGTTAATTTCTTGTTTATAAAGACAAATGTTTCTTTCCTTCCTCCAGCTTAATTGTTCATAAGTTGTTATTCCTTGTATTTTAATTGTGTACGTAAAGGTTGCTGTCCAAGCACATCACAGGTCTGACAAGAGAACTGAATTAGGTCTGAATAGAACTGTTGCCATTAAAAATGTGTGTGTCTGGAGGAATTTCTGTGAACAAAGACCAAACGGAGTTTCACAGGAATGTTGATTTAGTGTTTGAAGTGTTCTGCCTGCAATGTTGTGTTATCCTCCAGACGTTTGCAAAAATAAAAATAAAATGTGTTTTCACTAGAGGTAAAAAACAGTGTAGACACAGTGGTATGTTTTGATACATTTTTAACTGTTTCTAAACAGATAAAATATTTACGTTCTCTTTTAATTTAGCTGACTACAACAGACACCTATGGGGGCATTTGGTATGTCTTTTTAGTAGAAGGTATTAAATTATACAGAGAAGACTTTATGAATCCATGAAAAGCCTTATGGGGCTTTCATATAAAGCAGAATAAAACTATCATTAAAATTGTGTGAATAGTGGTTCTGAAAAGAGAAATAGGTGAGAGGCTATTTTTATGTTTCTGTTGATTTTACTGTTAAAGCATTTGATTGTTAAAATGAAGCAATGAATTGTGTTCTTAAGTTATGGTAGTGCATATCCAAGCAATTCCTTGTTAATTCTCACTTAAATAACGTGAAGTCCCTCCATGAAAGAAATGACTAGAAACTTCATGCTTTAGAAGTTCTTCATATTTATGGAGAGGATTCCTATTTTTTTTCTGGGGAGTGTATACTTTTATTCTCAGACCAGAGCTGGCAGAGTATTGGAGCATCTTCCAGTATGTTGTGGTAGGAAAATCCAGTGTATTCTAGGGTTGGGCAAGCAGCTGTGACAAGGAGAGGTGTTGTACAGCTGTTGGTGTCCAGCTTTCAGACGTTGGACTATTGCTTTTTTGTCACTCTGAACACCTCTTTTGTATTGCAGAGAATTTCAGACCGATTATCTTCTTTGCGATTGCAACATACTGTGGATGCATCAGTGGTTAAAAGAAAGAAATATAACTGTACGTGAAACTAAATGTGCTTATCCCAAGTCACTTCAGTCGCAAATGGTGACTGGTGTTAAGCAGGAGCTTCTGACCTGTGGTAAGTACTCCTGGCAATTCAGTCGCAAATGGTGACTGGTGTTAAGCAGGAGCTTCTGACCTGTGGTAAGTACTGACGACTGATAGAATCATAGAACTGTTCAGGTTCCAAGGCTTAATAACCCTTTCCGTGTAAGGCCCATCAACCTAACTCTGATAAAAAAAAAAAACAAACAACCAAAAACCATCACTAAACCATGACCCCCAGCACCACATCAACCCGTCTTTTGAACACCTCCAGGGGTGGTGCCTCAACCACTTCCCTGGGCAGCCCATTCCAAGGTTTAATAACCCTTTCAGTGTAAAGTTTTTTCCTAATATTCAACCTGAACCTCCCCTGGTGCAACTTGAGGCTGTTTCCTCTTGTCCTATTGCCTGTGACTTGGGAGAAGAGACCGACCCTACCTCTCTACAACCTCCTCGAGAAGGTCTCCCCTCAGCCTCCTTTTCTCCAGGCTGAACACCCCCAGCTCCCCCAGCCTCTCTTCATAAGGCTTGTTCTCCAGACCCCTCACCAGCTCCGTTGCCCTTCCCTGGACCAGCTCCAGCACCTCAATGTCTTTTTTGTGGTAAGGGGCCCAAAACTGGACACAGCACTCGAGGTGGGGCCCCACCAGTGCCAAGATACTTCTTTTCCATATTCTGTTAATGAGTAGGCTTTTTTCCTTTGTTTTGTTTCCCTAAAATTCAGCGCTTATATGACAGTTGTAAGTAGGGTTTCTTTTCCAAAGGCTTGATCTTTAGTTGTGACTGTGTTATTTGCTTTTGGAAATTTTTGTTTCCCTAAAATTCAGCGCTTATATGGCAGTCGTAAATAGGGTTTCTTTTCCAGAGGCTGATCTTTAGTTGTGACTGTGTTGTTTGCTTTTGGAAACAAATAATAAATTGGTGATTGTGGATGTCAGTCTGTACAGACTAGGTATGAGTAGTACTCTGAAGATAAAATCCTTTTTCCTGCTAACCCATGTTTTTCAGAACTATTTATGTAAACTTCACAAGAAGAATCAGAAAGTGATTTTTTTTTTTCCAAAGTCTAGCTATTTGACTTCAGATGTGCAAATTATCCAGAGCCCAAATTTCTGAAGTGAAAAGGTCTTCATTTTATGACTTATTTTCCTATGTGTTTCCTATATATTGATTAGCCGCCTTGTTGTGATGGTCAACTTGCTTAACTTCTTAATTGTGTAAGAGTTATTTCATCTGTCAAAACAATAAAACAGACACATTTGTGATTTTAAAAAATTAATAGTGAGAAATTGTGAAGAAATAAAATGCGTAAATATATTTTTCATTCAAGTATGTATTTTTCACATATTTTGGATGTGGGCTAGCAAAAGATTTTTGAAGTGTATTACGTTAAAGAAATACATATTTTGAAAGTTATTTCATCTGTCAAAACAATAAAACAGGCGCATTTGTGATTCTGAAATATTAATAGTGAGAAATTGTGAAGAAGTTTATATTTTTCACGTATTTTGGATGTGGGCTAGCAAAAGATTTTTGAAGTGTATTACGTTAAAGAAATACATATTTTGAAAAAGAATATGAGCATAATTTGTGTTTTTTGATATCCGATGCAACAAATATTGCTTTTATATAAATCTTGCAAGGTGCAGCTGAGAGGAGGTTATAGCAGTAATTGATACTCAGTGTATTTTTCTGAAAATTATGTACATAACAGATTCTTGCTGTTAATTGTGCTTTTATTTCTTCAATTCTAGAACCACCGCTTGAATTACCATCTTTCTATATGACTCCGTCTCACCGTCAGGTTGTCTTTGAAGGAGATAGTCTACCCTTCCAGTGTATGGCTTCGTACATTGATCAAGACATGCAAGTCTTGTGGTATCAGGATGGAAAAATAGTGGAAACTGATGAGTCCCAGGGTATTTTTGTTGAAAAAAACATGATTCATAACTGCTCACTGATTGCAAGGTGAATCTATAAAGAGCAAATGTTGCCTGCTCCTCATTTTCTGCTCTATTAGTGACTATTTCTATAACCAATAAGGACCTCTTATATCCTTAATGAACCTATGTAGGCAGATACTTCCCAAGTGCAGAAGTAGTCTGTAACTCCACCTATGTCTTAAATTACCTGGGTTTGGTCACTGTTACTAATGATCAAGTTTGAGGAAGGCGGTTTAGAGATTTGATTAGTCAAACCCAGCTGCTTAAAACAGGGTTAGGTATAGCAGGTTGCCCAGGACTGTTGCAGTTGGGTTTTAATTACCTCCAAGCATTACCCAATGCAGTTGATGTAAAATATGTTTGTGGTAGGATACATTTGTTCTCTTGGAACATGAAAGTTACGAAAGCAAGGCATTTAAATGAACTGCTTGTTGGTTCTTTCCTCTTCCTTTTGAGTACACCACAGTTGGTAGTATTAAAGTTCTCCAGCAGAGATCTGTAAGTATAATTTATTCAGCCTGCAGCAGATTTTTTGACTCATTCAGCATCTACAGAGTGGTTATATATCCTGTAATTGTATTAGTAAATTAGGGCTTCTAACTCTATCACAAATTATGCATTTGGGAAGTTATTTTAGTTTGGCCTTTCTGGAATAACTGTAACAAATTTTGTGTTGAAGAGCAATGATAACAGTTGGGGAACTTGGGCTTCTCATCTCTTCTTTCTGAAGTCAAGGAACTTTTTCCCATGGCTGTTCTTTTTCTTTCCTACTTTGGCAGAATTGAGAGCTAGAATAGTAAATATTTCTCTGTTAGTTACAGTACATTGATTCATACACAGCTCTGCTTTTGTGAGATCACTCACAGTTGTCTGCGATTAGTTGTTCCTCCCATTGTCTTTCTGTATTTGTTCATCTTTCTTCTATAAAAAGAAAGCTTATATAAATTTTTGTTGCAAGACTGTTGCCTTTTATTTGTTTACTTTATCTTCCCAGTGCGCTGACAATCTCAAACATTCAGGCTGGCTCCACAGGAAACTGGGGTTGCCACGTACAAACCAGACGTGGCAATAACACGAGGACAGTGGACATTGTGGTGTTGGAAAGCTCTGCCCAGTACTGTCCTCCAGAGAGGGTTGTCAACAATAAGGGGGATTTCAGGTTGGTAACCTCCATTTTTTTTATTCCAGAATAAAGAAAGGTCCACTTAATTTTGTTTTAAACTAAGATATTATACTTTAAAGGCACCTATGTGGGTGTTCATTTGTAAGTGGCAATAGATTTTTAACTGTTCTAAGTTAGTATGTGTTGAACAAAGTGCACACAGCTGTACCATGAAACGTTAAACTTTGAGCCTGTTAACTCACATCTTTGGAATAAATTGAAAGTAAATTATGATCTTTGAAAGATAGAAATGAAATTATTGGAACAGAGTAAAACTTCTTAAATGATTGTAAGGTAAAGACCTATGTGGGTGTTCATTTGTAAGTGGCAACAGATTTTTAACTGTTCTGAGTTAGTATGTGTTGAATGAAGCGCACACAGCTGTACCATGAAATGTTAAACTTTGAGCTTGTTAACTCACATCTTTGGAATAGATGGAAAGTAAATGATTATATTTGAAAGATAGAAATGAAATTGTTGGAACAGAGTAAAACTTTTTAAATGATTGTAAGTTAAAGTTGGACTGCATTCTGAGGGGGTGTTCCACCAGGTTTTTAAAACCCTCCTGCTCCCGTACGACAAAATCACTATGTAAGAAACACGTAATACAGTTTGTCTCTTGTGAGTACTAGAGTAAATAATATGAATGGTGCTTCCTTTTAATGATTCTTGGGACTGTAGTGGTAGCTCTGATGTTCCGTTGTGTTGGGTATTGCAGAGTGTTTTATCTTTTGTTCTTACCTCTTCACCTGTTTTCCCTTTTCTGATCTTTCTGCCGCTGGTCACTCTAACACCACGTTACTCCTGGAGGTGCCAGCTGTAACAGATAGCTTCTGTATAGATTCTCTATATGTAAGGTAATTCCCTTTATAACTACTCTGTGTTGTACTGCCCTGCAGTAGCTCCTACTGAGAATTAGTGTATGTCATAGCATATGTTTTCACTGCGGTTTTTAGGGTTTCTTAATGTTGTAATAAATGCTTTTACCCCCTCATTTATTTTCCCTTTTCTTATGCTGCTTGGCTGTGTTGATCTTCTGCTTGATCCTTCATTTACATTTTCTTCTTTTTCCTGTGTACATTAGATTTCTTTAAAGTCATCTTCCTTCTATACAGCTAATCTAAGGCCATAAATCTTTTATTTTAAGAAATGAAAGGTAAGTTAAAGCGTGTTGCTGGGACAAAGTTTTTGGGGGGAGAGAAGAGACAAGCTTTAAACTGCAGAAGGCCTTCTCCAGTTCTAGCAGAAATTCAGGTGAAGTCATGGATGAGAGCGTTTGTTCTGAGCTCATCTTTATGTTCATTAGCTGGACAGTTTGAGCAATAAAGGTAGCTGTTGTCTGAGTATGAGGATCTGTTAGTAAGGGAAGGACTGTTGAGATCACTTGCTACACAGGGGCAATTTGGAAGTACTGAAGAGCTTCACTTCCACATTGTGAAGAATTATTTATATAAGAAACTTTGTGCGTATCCTCTTTTTACACTGGGATGCTTTCAACTGCAGGGATAAGCATTCCATTAGAAAATGAGAACTTCCTGCTTAAGATAAAAGGTGAAGAAAGTCAAACAGATGCATGCTGTATTCATCAAAGAACATGTCTATTTAAATCACTTATGCATTTTTTTTTTAATGATACAAGTGTGAATCGTTCTTCTTTGATTTGCCATTAGAGGTGAAAACAGATGGTAAAGGCTTATTTCAAAGTGTTTTCCATTAAATTAACCTGTGCTGTTCAGTGACTGTTCAGTGTAATAGGATTTCCCCCCTCTGGAATTCAGTAGAAAGAAATAAGATTTCAGGAAATGTTCAGCTTATCAAAAAGTTCACTATGTCTGGGTTTACTATAACAGACTTCCATTTGTAGTTTAGGTAGTGTAATAATAAAGAGTAATTTTTCACCTTTGAGACCATATGGAAATAAGGCTTTGACTAGTGAGAAAATGGTTCTGAGCAGATGGCTGTAAATGATCCTAGGTGAATTTGATTTTATAGTTTTTTAGTTGGAACTGGTTAGTCATTTTAGCTTGGAAGCCATTTCAAAACTGGCATCTAAATTTTTATCCCTTCAGAGATGGGGTAGCAAAGGAGGATGTTTGTCTTCAGTGTCTTTGGCTCAGTAATATTAGTTCAGCCTGAGTTTATGAAGTTTGGGCAAAAACTGTCTTCAGCATGGAATCTTTTTTTTTTATTTATTTAGATACTCTTTTTTAAGTCTTGCTCATATAATATCCCTGATCCATGATTAAATGGAAAACACAGTTTGCATGTTAAAATGTAGCCCAATGCTTCTGCTTCCGTAAATCCTTCAACTGTTGTGTTTAGAATAATTTTATGCTGGTAGTTGATAGAATTCTTTCTTAAATATAAGGATCATCCTTTTGAAAACTCTTACTCACTGGGTGTAATTAATCTTAAAACTAGTTGTCATGCTGAATTTAGAGAATTACTAAGATGTAATAAGAAAAAGACAGTAAACTACCTGTAAGCTAATGAAATTATAATATAAAAACTCATTGTGACTGAAAGTTATTGTTGGTTTAAAGAAATGAATGCTTTCAAAACAGAATTAATATGCATGAAGGAGAGGATTCTTTTATAATCTCATGGTCTGGTTTTTTTTTCCTGAAATGAAATTACAGTACTTAAATGTAAATGAACCATCTTTTCCCCCCACAGCTGTCTACTCTCATGTATATGTGATAAATTTTGAGCACCTAATTATAAACAGTGATGAAATAAGAGTGTTAATAGAGTCCAAATTTGCACTTCTGCTAGCGGTTGGGTAAACTGTGAAAGGCATTCAGGCTTGGGCTCCCAAGAAATTAATAATACAGCCCAACTTACATAGTTTTTGTTTTCATTATGAGAATTCCAGGTCATTAGTCACCTTTTGAGGTGGACCAGAGGGTTGTCTTCTCTGGCTTCGCGGAGAGTGCTTCATCAGCTCATCCCATAGAGGTATTGGGAGGAAAGAGTTTGTGGATGAGAATGGTCCAGACGAACACTCACTTTGCAAAAAATATGGGATAAGACAAGTGTAGTTAGAGCTGGAATTGGTTCCTCTGTCTCATTCACCACTGGGCTGTAAAGAAACTTGTACCCACACAAGGGGTGTTATGAATGGGAGAGGAAAGAAGATAAAGGGGGTACCATTCCCCACAAAGCAGTTCTCTAAAAGACACCATGCATTTCTGTTCTTTCTGTCTCTGTGAAATTATGGCAGAAAGCTGGGAGTTTTAAATTTCCTGCCTTTCACGTCCAATTTAATGGAAATCTTTCTCAGTCAATAGATGAATAATATATTAGTTTTATTAGTAAAATGTTTCTGTACGTATCTAAATTAGTTGTAAACGTTCTTTTGAGAAGATCATGGTAAAAGAGGATAAAATGCTGTGTAGGGAGACGAATGCAAAGTAAATGCAGTAGAAATAAAGGGACAGTATCAAAAGGAAAAGAGGTGGATTAAAAACAAATAGAGGAAGCGGAGAGAAGAACAGTGAGAACAGGCAAATAATCTTGTGAAACTCTAATAACCTTTAAAGTGGTGTTAAATACTGAAATTCTCACTTTCTTCCATTTGGTGGCTACAGAACTTCCAGATTATATAGCTTAGAAATTACACTTGTTTCAAAATACAGTAATTAAAGTTCTTCTGAAAACCCTGTTTTTCATTTGGGTCCTGGTGTTTCACTCTGTTTTCTCTTTTTTTTTTTTTTTCTAATTCTTGAGCGCTGGGTGTGAAGAGTGAGGAAAGGAATGGCACATGCCCTTTTTCAGTGAAAATATTTGTCTTGGAGGTTGTGTCACAGGACATCTGCCAGGACCGCAGCGTTTAAATTATCCTAAATCCATGTGGCTCTTGCTCAGTAAGGCAATACATTCAGTCAAAAACTGAGCTGACCACACTCTAACTTTAAAATGCTTTGGAAAAACACAACTTTAAAAAAAACAACCAACCTGTCTGTAAGGAGGGAGACAGATAGCCCTTTCAAAGTGGCATCTTTGATGTGGAAACTTAATACAGAAATTTCAGTGTTGATAGAATTGTTTTGGAAATGATGTTTTGGCCACGTCAGCGTCGGTGTTTCTGGAAACCTGACTCTCTGTTCTGGAAGCTGAGGTTTGGGTGCATTCTGCAAGGTCTTTGTGGGCCTGTGTGTTGTCTAACAGCTGTGCCAACTGATTTCTTAGTTGTCCTCATCTGCCTGTGTTCTTTTTGGCTTCATTCGCTGAAGGCTCCTTATGTATCCTGAAGAAGTGGGAGCATTCAAGCATCTCAGCTCTCTGCTTGGTTTTCCTCTGGTCTGTGTTGATCGGACTTGATTTTAATTTGTCTATACAGAAATCTCAGGGATTTATCTAATTTTACATGTATTGTATCCCCTTATCCCTTCCTCGCTTCCCAGCAGATCGGTAACTTGCTCTTATCTATGATCTGAGTTGGCCAGACATGATCCAAAGTGATGTTTTTGTTGGCTTGTGGGGGTGCATGTAATGGTCACTACTGGGATTGCAGCAATTCACCAAGGCTGTTAGGATTTTTTATGGAAGATTTCTGTCCTTCCTACTATTTTTTTCTTCTATACAGTAGAAAAGATGGTAAATAATTTACAAGACTGTTGCAGATTCTAACTGTTCTTTGAATTAATTTACATTCTCTAAAACACCTGTATGTAATTCCTGGCATTTTAAAGCTGTGCTAATGTCTTTTTTAAAATTTTTTTTCTCTCCTTCTAACGATCTCCATTGTCACCAATTCTGATGTAAGTTCTGTTCTGATAAAGGTTGAATGGTGACACTTCCGTAAATTTCTTGAAGTGGCTGCTGAGGCTCCGAAAATTAGCATATGCATATTTGCTAGGTTGGATGATGCTCAAATAATCTTCTGTCTCTTCTAGTATTCAGATATTATGGTGATGGTCATAATAATAAGTCACCATTTCTTAACTACAGATGGCACTACAATATGGAGAACTGTTAAGTCATGCCAAAGCTGT